TGTCCCATGCTTCTGGAAAAACTTCTCCAGAGATAATGTTTCCTGCATGATGGTCAGGATTTTGGGATAACAATTTACCTGGATTGTATAATTTGTTAGTAGCTACAATTAAAACAAATACAAATTAAATTTCTTCTTACTGTTTAGGAAGTAAAAGTATATAATTATTGTTGTTGCGGAATTCATGAACTCTTTTTCTGCTTATACATTCATTTGCATTTATTTTATCGCCAAAATTCTTTCTGAAATAACAATCTGTCTAATATGTTACAAAAGTGGCTTCCTTTCTGAATGGTCATGCTGTTTGAGAAATAGGAATACTGCAAAGAGCAGTAGAAGAAATTTAACGATAGAGAAGAGATGTTGATGAGTTAACCTGAGGGTTTTGCACTGGTTGTAAATGAAAAACAGATTTTGAAGGTGCTACATTACAGAAAAACCTTTTTGAGTAGTCAAATGTTTAAACCACAATATCTGATCCAGGCATTTCAGAAATTTTCAGTAAGAGGTCTGGAAATTTGTACCAGGATTTTTCTCTTAATTCTATTCTATTTCAAATTCAAAGGTTAGGCTTGCTCTAAAGACTTAGAGCTTAGCATCTTCCTAGTAGTTCTCGGCTACTTCAAGGGGTGGAGCAACTGCCATCACTGTTTGGCCAGCACAGCTGTCTAATCCTCACTGGCCTGCTCTTTGCTGCCCACGGACAGCATCACCGTCCAAGATGAGCACGGTATCATCTGAAAGAAGCTTCACACCTGCTCCTGGCTTATTGCTCCCACTGGCTGCCCAAGCCTGACAAATCCCATTCTGCATGGTTAAAAGGACACCTCTCGTTATTTTGACTCCTTATCCCTCACTGGTTTTTACTCTCCTTTCCCTAGAAGTTGTATGCAGAAATTTGTGTACATTTGTGTGTGTAAGTCAGAGTCTGATTATCTTTTTGGGAGCTGTGAAAGGATTTTTTTTTTATTGCTTTGCTCAGTGAACTCAGATAGGCACAATTAAAGTAGCTGGCGTAGGTTGTAGACATTCAATGTTCAGGGGTCTGTAGTTACATTCATCTTGTAGTTGCACACATATGATAACCAATGCAATAAGGTCCATCTGTGAAAGATATAGCTGATGGCGATACCTGAAAGAACCTCAGCCTATGTTATTTCCAGTAGACAGCTTTTCCGTTTGTGGTAAAGAAGAGTGAATTTAACGCTCTAAACATCTAAAATTTGCTCCTTCTTCCTGACCGTAGGGTAGGGAAATGGCTGGAAATTAATGTAGTAGAATTGTAGGCAACTGTTTAGACCCTAACCTTCTGTTCAACCTCATACAGCACTGTCTGGTTAGTTCCTGCTCTTTCACACTGGCAACAGTAAAAAGTTATGGGTTTTTTGTTTGGTTGTTGTTTGGTTTGTTTTTTTTTTTTTTTAGATATTACTAAGAAATGCAGCTATGAAATGCAGCCAGACACAAAGTGTGAAAAATTCTGCACCCACTAGTGAGGAATTCTGCTTGCTGTATTAAAATTAGTATCACTGACACTGTTGACTTCAATAAAACTTCTGTCATAAATACTGTTAAGTCCTGAATCTCCTGATCAAATTCTATCAATTCCTATGAAATTCGCAATGTCTAGGAAAAGAATACAGGGAATGCTGTACGCAGGACTGGCAGAATTGAAAAAAGCTATAGAAAGAGAAAAAAGAGTATACACTATTTACCCTTTTAAGCACTCAATAAATAGATTTTCAACATCTCTCTTCTGTTAAGCATGCAGTATGTTTTGTGTGCTATAAGATTTTAAGCAGCTCTGTGTTATTGCTAACATGGCATCCCTTCTTTTTAGACAGGCAACAATTATTTTTCTCCTGCTGCAGAGGGAATGATGGAATTCTTATATTCTAGTGCTTGTTTTAGACATAACTTATGTTCCTCAAAAGAGGAACAAGATAGTGAGCCTTATTTTGGAGAAGCTGTTTTTACAGCTCTAGACAGTTCGTTCTGTTTTGCAGATTGATGGGTTCCAACCCAAATGTGCAAGAAATAATTTCTTATAGTGTTTAAAGCATCAGTACCAGGTGCTTACAGGATCAGACCTGCATTTACAGAAGATCCATATCTCTTTAAGCAAACAATTCCATGCTCTGGGGGCACAGGCAGTAATGGCTTTAGCAAAATTTTTTTACTGAATTTCAAATTATATGAGAAAAATTTGTTGCAGAAATCTCTTAGTAAGTGTTGAACTTTCCATTTGTTTTGTCCTTTCTAAAATTTCCCTTGATCCTGATATTTGCCTAATGACAATGAAACTCATTAAACTATGCAATGTATTGTCTCTGAGGATCATTTAGAAACAGAGAATCTAATCCCCATTTTGAACTGAGGTATCAGAGCCTGTGCAAGAGTCAAGTGAACTGTGGTCCTACAGTGTCACTGGGGATCAACCAAGCAAGCTTGAGCCTTGGGGCCAGAGAGATCCATCTCCTGTATCTCTCCTCCCATCCAGTGAAAATAAGTCAGGCAGTAACTGTAATGAATTGCAATAAACAATTGCAGTTATAGATCTAAAGAAAAAGAATGGAACTAGTATCTTCAGTGTAAGCTGCTATGCATTTTTGAGGGGTCAAATATCCTCTGCTTCTTCTCTTCAGTTGGTTAGAGCTGTTAGACTACAAGATTTCCCAGCTATTTAGCAAATTGAGAAATAAATATGTGGCTTTATGTGTTTTTTATGACATCAAATCCCTAACCCAAGTGAATAGAATGAAAAATGTGTATGACTTTTCCCCCCTTGCAAATGTAATACTTTTCCACTGTTATAATGAATGTTATTTAAAGGTATGCTGCACTGTTATTTGAAGGTGTGCTGTGCTTTTATCAGTAGCACTACAAGACTTCTCAGCATGCATTTGAAAATAGTTGTGTTTAATGCTTTTTGTCATAAACTTTATTTTCAGAAACAGTTGACAACTGATTCTTATAAGAAGTGATTTTCTAATCTTTAAGTCACTTTGCTAATCATAAAGTATTTCACTTTCTCTCACTTCAGAACTCTGTGTATAAAGGCAAGAATATAGAACAGGAAGTTCTTGGTCAGTATATAAACTACCAGGTGCAACAATATGACCATGGAACACACTACGGTCTTCCCTGTCCACAGCTGACTAGTGCATGATCCCAGGTGGCAGCTTTTACATTTTTTATCCATTAAAATGCTGACCTTGTTATTTCATGGATCCATAAAGAACAATACTATAGACAGTACACTACATGGGCATTCCCCCCTCTCACATTTCTGCTGTGTGGGCCCATTGTGAAGGATGATAGCAGCAGGCAGTGGGGCGTTTCCGATCGGTTATGCAAACATTGCCGGTTTGCCTTACAGGGTGTGGCCAGGCAGCAGAGATGAAGGTGTCTTTTTGCTGCTTCTGGGCGTGCTGGGTCAGGAAGAACATCTTGAAAGAAGGAGGAGGGTTCATTATGCTCACTCCAAGAGGCTTCTGGAGTGCAGGGTAGGACATGAAAGGCCAAGGACTGAGCAAGGAGAGAGGTGGCTGAACAGGGACAGAGTAAAGCCTCTTACGGGAGCAGGGGACTTTCCTCCAGCAGGGAGCAAACTTACAGGCTTTGAGGATGTCATTCTTGGGGCTCCAGAGACACTCAGTGTGATCGTGCAAGCTAACGCATATTGTGGGAATTTTGCCCTGAATTTGGTTTTGGTTTCTTTTTCTCTGCAGGTTTTTTAGTATTGCTTAGAAACTACATGGGGACTTCAGAAAATCATGCTGACTCCTATGAAGTTCTTACCTGCCCTCTGCTATTCTGTTGAGAGGGTCAGTCAAAAATCTGAGACAGCATATCTGAACAGTCATCCAAGAACTAATTAATCCCATGTGTTTGTAGTGACCTCTTGCATCTTACGCAGCTAGCACAGGCTTCTTAGAAGTGTAAGTAAAATTAAAGTTTACTGACCTAACACTGAGATGGTAAGGTCTGACTGGGGAGCAGGAGAGGGAGCAGACAAGAACTGGGACAGAAGGAGTGCAGCAGCGGAAACCATGGCTCTTGCTGCTTTGCCAGTGGAGGCTGCTGCCCCACACTATCCAGTTACCCGCACACCATAGATCTCCGCAGTGTCTAGTGTGGCTTTCCAAGCCTCTGGTGGAGGTGGAGCCAGTAGCCTTACTGACATTTTGCTTCCTAGGGGAAAGCCTAATTTGCCTGGGCCCTAAAGCTGACTCTACTATCTTTGTCTGAACTTTTTTTCATCTGTAGGGTCAGGGCTTTTCTTACAACCGTGGGAAACACATCTATCATGTATTTTTCATTTTAAAGGCTAAATTATAAAGATTTTTCCCCACTCAGACATATGTATGCATATACTTTTTTGATTTATTATGTGTTTTTTGTCATATGTCTGGTTGCCTCTAAAAAACTCTACTATGTGAATAAAACTGCACGAATAAACAAGGAAAACAGAAATTTAAAAAAGTTTTTCACATTCATCAGACCTGTAGATATGTAAACTTTTCTGAGTGGTGGTACTCTTTGCTTGGAATAAGTTATTCTTTGATACTCTCGCTGCTGTCATCCACATCTGTAGAACCTAAAGTAATTTATCTTCCATGTTTTAAATACTGTTTTTTTTGTGCTAGATTGGGATTTCCTTTTCTTTTTTCTTTTTTTTTTTTTTTTTCCCTGAAAAGTCTTTTTGCTTTCCCTTTTTGAATTTTTACCACAATACCTTGAACAAAACGTATAATTCTTAGGCATTTGTTGTTGGGGTGTGTGGTTTTTTTTTTTTTTTGCTCTGACAACCTTGAAGTCAGCTACATGAACATTTTCCTGAAGAGGGCATCAGAAATGTAAATTTTTCACGTTTGATGGTGCAGAAAAATTTCTGTTACAACTGAAAGGAATGCTTACTGTACTTACATGTGACTGTATGTGTCATAACAACTGGATCTCTCCTCCTGTCTCTTATGGAAAAATCTTTTGAATCTTACCTTGTCCAGACACACTGTCTTGGTCAGCTTCCTTGAAAGGTGGTCCAGTTGTATCAGTCAGTTCTTTCTTCTCCTCAGCTTCACTGTCCTCATCTCTGGTTTGCAGGAGATTAGGCGGGGTAAAGCTACCTGTGGTGTAAATTGCCAGCGTGGTAGCCTGCTCCATTGGAGACTCATAGCCGTCGGTGATTAAGTCGTTGCTAGCAGAATCATCTGCTGGAGGAGGCAAATAGGAATCCTCTGGTTTTGGAGGACTGCTAGTGCTACCAAGGGCATTGAAAGGCACTGTGAAACTTTGGTGATCAGTAGTGGTATATTCTGTGTCTGGAGGAGATCTGTCCTGAAAAGGTTCTCTGGAGGGTTTGGTAGGGAACAGAGGTTCAGATGAAACAAAATTATTGAAGTCTTCAGGGGCACTGATCTCTCCACTTAGCACAGGGATACCGGTTGTGAATTCTTTGACCAAGATGTCTCCTGTTTGGTCCACTGTTGCTGGGCTGGGGTAACCTAGTGGGAGTTCCACACTCATGGAGTCCTCCTGAAAAAGTAGCTTTCGTTATTATGTTTAACTTCCACTGCTAAAAAGGCCAACAATTTTTAGCCACAGGAACTTGCAAACAGCTAACTCAGCATGAAGTCATGGGATGTATAAAATGTTTGGCATCTGCATGTGATCCTAATCATGTTGCCTGTAATTTAAAAAATGGTCAAAGATGACTTTCATTATCCCTGTCAATTGCTCTCCTTCTGTCATGAGATGTATTACTGAACTGGTAAGACGTTGTTTACTTTATAATTAAAACTGGAAGAGATAATCGAGCAGTAATATTCACCTGCAAATGCTCTAAACAGTATTTCTGTTGCAATATAACACCACATCCATACTTACAACATTTCTAAAAGGCAGACATGTATTTTAGCATAAGAGCCTTTTTCTGTATATTTATGCACATCTTAAACTGTTTACTTTAATTTCTCATTGAGAAATAATTAAATATAACAACTAGTATTAGCTTACCAAATCAGGGCCTGCCAGAGGAATAGTGACCACGGCCTGGATATCATTATCAAAATCACTAGGTGGTATAATAGATTCTGAAAAAAAAAAACCCAAAAAGAAAGAAAGAATTAGAGAACAGTATTTCAGTGGTGGCACAATGAAAACTGATCAAAACACATAAACTCAATAAAAAACAGTATTAAAACTATTCTCCATTAAAAAAATTACTCTAAAAATCCATTTTAAGAAGAAAGAGGCATACATTTCCATTTAAACTGGCAATTATGATGAAAACAGGAATTTTATATGCAGTATTCATTGTACTCTTTATTTGGGATAAACGGGATAGGTCTGCAGAGAGCTGAACCATGGCTGAATGCTTAAAATCAGCTGACATATGAACTGCTCAGTTAAATCCGCATGGGCTATGGTGACTCATTATATTATGTTGTTCATTAAGCCTAAATTCTTTTCAGTTTTACCCAGAGTCCACATTGTTACTCTCAGTGTTTTGGCTTTAGTGCCCAGTTGTTCCTTTCACCCCCTCACAGGAGCTCTTTAAACGTACTTGTATGCAAACTGTTTTTCTAAAACTGATTACTAAAAGTAACTAGTTGGAAAGTTGATTAAAATAGTTATTATTAAAGTGTTCTGTATCTATGAATTTTTTCCTTGGGCCTTTTAATCTATATTAAAATATGACAATTTGTTATTACAGAAAGTATTAGTTTGTCTAAATTTGTTTTGGCAAGAAAGTATTGCTATTTGCAAAGGAAACACTACAGCTAAAATTTGGTGTGCATTTTAGGATTGTTTTCATAAATAGGCATACAAAAAATATTTTAAATTATTTTCCTCATTTTTAACCCACCTCCCCAAAACTGGGGCTAAGCTAGCTTTGAAAAAAATCATTGATGTTCTAGAAGGGGACAGGTATTAGCTGGAATACTAAACAGGACGTAGCCCTCCAAACTTCTGCTGGAGGTCTTCACACCTAACTTGTCATCTACACTCCCTCTGTGTTTCACACCACTGATTTTAGCTTGGGATCAAATGCTCTTTAAGATGTCTGTCTCTGACTTCACTGGAAGGTTAGATGGCTTGCCTACAACTGAGACTTAGCTTTCAGAAAGCTAAATTTATGTTAGAAGAAGCCTTTTTGTCTTATTAAAGAAAGGAGACTGTCCAAACTGGGAAATTAAAATGATACAGTGAATATTTGTATTTTGACTTATATCTGTGCATCCTTTGGATGCTATGCAACACTTAGGAGAGCGGGATACATTAAATGAAAACAATCTGTTAGTGAAGCAAAGATGAAATTCCATCATTTTGAAAGGGCACAAGTCAGACTTGTGCCTGGCACCGGCCTGCCTACTGACCATCAGTAAACTGAAGTGTTCCAAGATCCATTGGCAGGGACTGGTCTTCGTGGAGTGCTATGGCAACCAGTTGCTGAAGGTCTGTTACTGTGAGTTTAGTTGCTGATATCTCCCTCTCTTCCTTTGGAGAAAGTAGAATTTTTTCGTTTTCAACTTTATTGGAGCCAATAGTTGAGATGTCATCTGCTGTGCTTCTGATTTCTGAGCCATCTCTCTCAAAGTTCACCACATATCGTGCAATAGTGCTGCTTGATCTGCAAGGGGAAGATGCAAAAATGCCCAGTGCAGCAAAATCAGTTACTGGCTGAGGACTGATTTTACAAACAAACAAACAAACAAACAAACAAACAAAAATACATACAACCATAACATATTATCTTCTGTAAAAATAATGCAGGTATACTTCTTTCTAATGAGACTGTAATCTTCAAATTATTTTGCTATACCTAAACCTTTTTTCTTCTAGGTATAATCTTTAATAAAAATTCCAATATTGAAGAAAATTATGAAAATGTAACATAATTCAGTTTAATCTGACTACTCAGGGACCTGTAGAACTGGTAATATAGTTTGATTGGTTCAACTAATCATAAATGCATGTTAGCATTACTAGAAGCCGTAATGGCCCATTAATTATGCAGGAACCTATGAAAAGGGATTAAACAGTTAATTCAACTACAGATAAGCAAAAATCCTATCACATCTGGGGCAATTTTTTACTCTTTTTTTGAAGAAGAGCAAGGAAGTTAGCTAATGTGGCAAGCAAATCACTTTTCACAATGGGAGTTAGCTTTTCCAAGTCCAAATGAATGTGTATAACTTCTCCCTGGATGTACTTGTTTAACAGAAGTCTCAAATTTTCACCATTACATCACTTTTCATAAATGCCAAATTCACTTAATTAAAAGGAAAAAATAACGAGTACATTGTAAAACATCTGTACTCCACTATGTTGCTTTTTATAATATCAAATAACTGAGAAGAGAGGAATTTCGCTTTATCTAGTATGTGCTATGTTTTGGCATTTATATGACATTGCAAGATTTCAGGAAAAGCATTAGACAACTCTTCCTTTTAAACTACGAGTAAAAGAGAAATTCTGGAAACTGCTAGACGAATTATTCCCTAGCAGCACTTTTAAGCAACAACAACAGACTCTGTAGCTGTTTGTATTACCAGTCAAGAGCTGTGGGCGTTTTATCAAGCTAGTAACTTGTCTCTTTGCCATTCTATCTGGCCCAAGAATAGAGATAACTAATCAAATTCTGTATAATTATTGAAGATAATGTGTATATGGGAATGCAGCTAGGAAACAGCAGATCAAAAATGAAAATTTAAATATGAAGTTTCCTTATTTTTTTCTCTTTCAGTTTATGACTGACAGAGATCTTTACTCATCTGAATGTGAATTTTCTTAGGTCAAACAATTTTCTTCAGAGAGATCTTGACAAAATTTGATTATGTGAACCTTTCAGATTGAAGTAAAAGCTGTCACCGCTGCTTTATATCACAGATTTTGTACTTAGGCAGAACACAAGTCAATTCACTCTGTCTAATCAAGATAAAGAACATTCATTGATGTATCCATGTACATCTAATAGTCTATAAAATGATAAATCTTAGTTATGAATTGCAGACAAATTACCCATCTTTCTCCTTCTTCTGTCTTCATTTCATCACAGAAGAAATAGCGTGATAAAGGATTGCAAAAGAAAGAAAAACAAAGATTCATGTGTACTGGTAAATCAATCATTTGTACATCAAAAACATCTTTTGACAATTTTTTTCTTATCTTCTATGTGTAGTCTGTAATTTTTATCTCTATGTGAATACGATAGCCTACTCTCCATCATTTCACTTTTCCCCTTCCGCACAATGGGAATCTCCATGTTTTGAGTGGGGAAACAGGAATTTTGTTTTACCTTAATAGTTTTAAATATCTGTTTTCCTATTTCCCACTACAAATGGTGTAATTTGAGCACTGTCATTGCTAATCTACATCTTTATGGTGGCAATGAACACCTGTGACAACCGTAGCAACTATTACCGTCACCACACATGGTGCCTATTTAGATCTTAGTCACAGGGGTAACTTGACCTATTAATTACCTCTGGAAGACATGGCTATGTTGACCTTCTGTAATATAATGTCCTGTTACTTTCCCTGATGAATTCTTTAGCATATCTCTAATGTTGCTCTTCCATATTGTCTTGTGGGAAATGCTGCTAATATGTGCCGCAATATGGCTAAAGAGAGAATGGACAGCAACACCTGTCTTTGCTGATCTGTAACTCTCAGGAGCTAACTAAATTACCAGACGATGAGAAGCAATCCTGGTCTTCCACATTGATGAATGTGCTTTCATATCAGCTCCTAAGACCAAGATACTAAACAGACATGGATCCCAGACCTCCTGCAGTCACAACTGAAAGAGGTTAGTTACCACAGGTTGTAACTATGAGATACTACTACAGATTTTCCCTCCTTGTTCTGCAGTAGCCAGCGTTTTGGTTTTTTGCTTTCATTATCAAAATGCAAGCAAGTAATTTTCACTCTGTTTTGCTCTTCTCTCTCCTTTTCCCCAGCAATTTTGCAGAGAGAAAAGCTAGGAAGAAGTATGTTCTTGTCTAAAATTGCATTGCTGTGTGAATATTTTTCAATATGTATTGAATATTACTGGAAGGACTGAATGTTCCTGATGCTGTGCCATAAGCCCATAGGAGTTTATGTCTTTTTTCCTGCTCTTTATTACCTTTCAATTTTATGTTATTTCTTACTATTAGTAATTTGTTTTCCCCTTGATTCTTTACATAATGTGCTCTTATCTGTAGAAGCATACCCATTTCAAATACTCAGTTTTTGACTCCCCCCGGCCCCATAGATTCTCTGTTGAGATTGAGATCTCTGTTGAGATTCTACAGTAGCTTGTATTAGCAGTAAACATACAAGGAAGATAAAACTAAAGTAAATGGCAAGATAGAACACAAATTTATTTAAAAAATGAAAAATTTTAAATTGTTTGAAACATGTGGGAATCACCTATTGGGGAAGTTTTATATGGATGAACGTGTGTTGTCCTGCAGCCTTCTCTTGTCAAGACACCTTCAACTGTGATCTACAGGATCCACACACAAAAAAAGTAACCACCAAAATAATGATACTCCTAACTCTTTACCTTGTCATTTAAAGAAGTTCTTAATGCAATGTTGTTAGAAAACAATTTCAAAGGATTTATTGATTACTACACCCCTCAGGGAATCTAAGCTGCTTCTTAATAATTCAAAACCTCACAGTCTCACTTGGGATGTGTTGCACTTCTCTCCATATTGTCTCTGTGTTGTTGCCAGTCTCTGTGTTGTTCCCAGAAATCTATTTTCTTATTATAGCAATACATCCCCCGCTATTTTATAGGTCTCTCAAGTTGGAGGGAAAGAATGAAGAGGAGAATCCTAATAGCCAAGATAAAAATTAGTCTAATTTTTTACTTACTTAAATCCTAAGACATGGATTTCTTTGAATCCTGGAAGTTTCTCAAATATTTTTTGCATCTACAAAAAACCCATAAGATCATTAATTCGGTGTAAGTTCTACCACTAAAAAGCAAGCACAGGTTGACTACCTAGCATTTTTTGTATTTCTGAAAGAGCTTTAGGAAAAAGCCTCAACTGCCCTCTTTGTGGTATCATGATTGCTCAGCTTAAACACAGTATTTGGCTTGTATATGCTGCCTGTATTACCTGTTAATATGAAGTACAAAATACAGCTTTTTTTAGTAGTGTAATTATGTAAATCAGTGCTAATCTAGTTCATAATAGAGCAAGTCAAACATGAATCAAACAGCTTTCTCTTTTTCAGCAGTTTTGGTTCATGAATAATTTTGTGATTCAAGTCACCTTAACTGTAAATTGTTAATTATTTAGAAATATTAAACAAATGCAGATGGATTTAGTTTATTTGACAAATCATTTATAAATGAAACAGTTTTGTTTTGTACAAATAGAATAACTTCATGTATTTTTAATTCTGGTATAAACAATTGTACGATTACACGGTTTTGAACAGAAGAGACAGTGTGAAGAATAAACAATCAACAGAAAACGTTAATTCTGTATAATTTTTCAGACTTTAGGATAATTTAGGCTATTTTAGGATAATAAGTGTTTTTATCAGCACTTCAAGAACCAACAATGTTTTGAGATCCAGCTGATTGATCTTTTAGTCTTTTCCAATTGTAGCAACATTTATACAGCTAAGTCAAATGAAATTATGTACATCTACTATGCCAGAGGACAGGGATTTTTTTTAAACACGCAGTTCAACAGTTCCTTTCTGATTCACTTCCTGGTGCTGTTAAGTACCAGGCAACACATCGTCTAAGCCTTTCATCTGCAAGCAAAGCCCGTGGAGTTGAGGCAATTCAGCTCTTGAAAAGAAGTGAAAATCTTTTTAAGGAATCAGATCCTTTTAATTCAGTGTATCACTTAAAAAAGTATATGAAATAATGCAGTGCTCTTTCCTTTTCCTTAGCTATATAATTTTGTACAAACCCAGCATACATGTAAAACTCATTCATGCATGAGAGTTGGTCAGAACTGGTAGGGAATGGGTGGTCAGACCCATGGCTTTCTCTGCATCTCCAATGTAGGTCAAGTGAAGAAAAAGTAGCAGAACATCAGTATGTTATCACAATACCAGCTATCAGCCACACTGTATAAGCCTAGATATCTTTTTTTTTTTTTTTTTAAATCACAGGAAGCAAAAGAGAAGATAATGTCTAGTGCAGAAAATGCCCTGCCATCTGCGCTCCCCTTGCCCATCTCTCACAAGAAGACAGTAGGAAAAGAACTGAGGTAAATACTTCATTTTGAGCTTGATCTGACTTAGTAAAAGTGGTGCAGAAGCAGCAATTAGACTGTGGGAAGATTTTTAAATGTTAGTAATGTGACTAGTACTTATTGAAAATAGCAGAGATTAAGGGTCTAAATCATTAGAATGCAATTAATTTTCCTAAACCTAGGCAAGCACTATAATTTTAGATGCCTTAAGGTCATCTTCTGCTCAGTTGCTGGTTCAAAAGAGTGCAGCTGTCATATTTGAGGCCTTTGCAGATGTATTGGATAACCTCAGGAACCTAAAATGGCACCAGATATCTATGTTTAGGTAACTGAACCCCCTTTTAGCCATGTTCTGCCAGCTGACTGTTGGCATGTGCTCTGTTCAGTCTCTTCTTGGTTCTCCTTATATCTGAATGAAGTTGAAGCTTTCTTTTAATTGTATGCACATGTGTAGCTTCCTATTTCCTCCTTTTTACAAGTGAATCTCAATTTACTGAGTAACATAAGCATCTGAATCTGCATTCAGTTTCTCATGTGATTTTAAATGTATGTTGTGGTATACAGATATACTTCTGAACATCTGCACTATAATGTCTGCTGTAACT